TACAAACTAAAGCCCTGGCCTTTTAATTTTGGATTATACATGCTATACTAAATGTCCCTTTTATTTTTTATCTCTTGAGAATTTGAATGCTGGATATTAGGCCTACATGCTTACAGAGCAGGAAAGAAACTCGTAAGTTCAGAGTAATTGTCCACTTATTTCTCTTCCTTTAGGAAACCCACATCATCCACAGCTTCAAAGAAGACTTTTATGGAGAAATTCTTAGTATAGTCATAACTGGATACATTCGACCGGAAAAAAACTTTGATTCCTTAGGTCAGTATTGGAAGTCTCCCTCAGACTAGTTTATTTTTTGCCTTACTCATGGAAGTTTTGTGTCTTCACTGTACCTCCATGCATCCTGAGATATTTTATTGGTTAACCTTTAAAATGTCAGTAAAATGTTTTTGTAATTTAAAACCAAAAAACATACCCCCACATCTTCTTATGTATCACACTAAAGACCTGCATTTTTCTTTCGCTTGTCTGAGGAGTAATGTTAAAATATTGGGCTTGTCATAAAAGTCAAGTGTACTGATTTCTTCTTAAAATGCAGTTTTGTTAGTTTTGAAACAGAACTGCTAATGTGTCTTTTGGCAAACAAAGATAATAGTGCTGATAACAGATGAAAATGCAACTCTAGCATGTTAAAAAAAAAAGTTTAAAGAAGAGAATTCTGCCTTTCAAACCTCATAGTTATATTCTACTTCTGTGATTGTTGTTTGACATTTTGTGGTACCTTATTTTCACTTATTATTTGCTCAGAATACAAACCAACTTTTAAATATCCCTATTCTTACCTTTTTCAGATGCACTCATTTCAGCAATTCAGGAGGACATTGAAGAAGCAAAAAGACAGCTAGATCTACCAGAACATCTTAAACTCAAAGAAGATAACTTTTTTCATCTGCCAGAAGGCAAAATAGTAAACAATCGCTGAGAAAAACCATACAGCCTCTTTTTTTTTTTTTTATTTCTTTTTTTTTTTTCTTTTTTCTTATTTTCTCCTATGTCATGGCGCTTTTGTATTTGCACTGCTGTCATAGATACTTTTGTGTCATGTCTGTTAGGTGACTGAGATCAGAACAACCGTACAAGATGACTTCTGTTTTGCTTAAGTCATCATTAGCCCAGTCATGCAAAAGAACAAGAAGGTTGTACTAAGTGATTATAGACAAGCAATGTACAATGTATCCTAATGTTACCAGGTCTTTGGAGATCTGAGCACATTCAGAACATGACCAATTTTAATTGTAACCATGAGGTGTGGTTAGCTCATTTAATGAAGAGCGTCTGTTCTTAACATAATGTTCTTGTCCCATTTTCTATGTAATTCTTAGATCTGAGTTTTAGCTTAGAAAATGTTGGTGTCTGTTGACTCAGAAAATTCCTGTGGCTAGATATGATTAGATAACAATAGCAAGATTAATTCCTTGTAGTTCTTGTTTTTTTATATGCTGCACGGCTGTTATGGTTGAAGCTGTTACTTTAATTGAAATTATTTATTTTAAGTTTATTTGAAATGGAAGTAATTGCTATTGCTCATTGTATTGCTAGAATCTGAACTATATTTCTTCACACTTGACAGAACATATGATAACTCATGACTTGTGTCATTTAATTCTGAAGAAGTGTTTCACTTAATTTCAAAAAATGAGTAGAAGTGTGAAAGCTGATAAACTTTAAGGTTCAGGCGTAAAAGATGAATAAACAATATAACAAGACTTCTGGTCATTGCACCTTAAAGGAAAAGAGGTAGTGAAACACAAATTTGCATTTTATGTGCTGCTGGTAGTTTTCATAGGGAAATCTTGAGGTTATTCACTGCACTGGCAATAAAATGACTGGCTTCAAGGTTTGCATTATTGTAAGGCACAGAAAAATTTCATCAACACTCTGCTCTAGGTGCAGGTAAGAGCCAAGGTTTTGGGAGACCAAGTAGATAAATACACAAATGAAAACCTTTGGGGATTTATTACATAATGTATCAACACTAGAAGGAATATTGGTTATTTTTTATAAGTAGTTGCAGACAGTCTTATTGTGAAATGTGGGGATACAAGTGAGGGTTGGACTAGATGATCTCTGAATGTCCCTTATAACCCTAACTATTCTATGATAGCTAAGTGGAAGGAGGTGTGACAGTTGATGTAATTTGAAAAATACTTTGAAATAAGTATATGATGTGTGAATCAATACCTAGTCTTCTTTTCCTTTGATAAATTTTTCTATCCCTGGGTGAATGGAAGCAGGTTAGCTACAGTGACTGTCAAAATTATAACTTTTTGACATCGCTCTCTGATATGTCTTGGACATATTCTGAAATTCAAAATACTTCTTTAAATATGTCTCAGCTGTGATTCTCTGTCTGAACTATGATGTTCAATATGGAACGCACAATTTCTGTAGTGAAATTTGATTAATTTACTCCTTGTCCTATTCTTATCCTACCTTTTACTCTAGAATTTGAGTTTTTGCAAAACAGCTGTTTCAATCTTTGTGGTGAGTGCTGTCGTTAGTTTCACTTCATATTGCTTTAAATTCTAGCCAGTAACATGGGCTGTTATTAGGGAAGATGGCTCATGTTTGCTCTTTAGGATTTCAGGAGAAAAGTTGATTTTGCTTAAATGAATTCTTCGCCAGTGGTGTTGATAGCAGAGGCAGATACAATACATTTTGGAGAGATGGACATGGGACAATCTACTTTCTTTTAAAGGAGAAAAGAAATAATTTACTGGGCTTTTTACTATATAATGTGTTAGAAACTGTATTTTTAAAAAGTCTGTAAAATCTCTTGGAAGATTGGTGATTGAAATTTTAAAAAGCAGAGATAAAGGGATAAATTTTTTTTGCTAAGAGTTTATGCATTCTTCAGATTGTAGTAACATTAAAATCATATATTTTACTACTCTTTCTAGAAAATAAGCAGAAGCCACACTAGTCAATAGAGTATGTTGTCAACATTAGATTGTTGTTCATCATGGTACTGTAGCTAAACACCTGTAGCTGCCTTTAAAATTGATTTTTGCCAGTAATGTCTTGGGTCTGTTGTGTAAACTATGGTGCCTTAGGCTGGTTCTGAATAATACTTTTCTGTATCTGCTAATAAATGCCACTATCAAAAATTCAACTCACCATTTGATTGTAGAACTACTGTGCTATGGATAAAGAACAGTAGCAAAGGGAAAACTTGAAAGACTTAACTTGCTCTCATATCCTAGCTGAAGTATGATATATGAATACACTGAACTAAGAAACTGCTCTTTAGGTGTTTGTCTTCAAAGAGAGTGTGTTAGTACATCCATTTGGCTGAGTGTACCTGACCATGTTATTTAAGAGAAAATGTTATGCATTGCTCTTTAAGCTCAATATGTAATTCCTAACACAATATAAACTTTATTTTTGTATTATGTACAAGTAGCTGTATTTTGGTTGATGCTGTTGCACTGTACCATTACTAAAGGAACTGTAATTGACAAATTTATTCTTCTTGTCTTGGATTTCCTTTCATTTGCCACTCCTAGCAAAGGAGTTGTTTCAGTTGTTTCAGTTTTAGGCAAAACTTTATGGGGATGAGTGCCTTATTTTGAATTTCTAAATCTTTACATGATTTTATATTCCTCTTTGTTCTGAAGGTGCAATGATTAAATCCACAGAACAATGTCAAAGTTACAGGGTGATCATGAAGTCTTTAGGAGTATCTAACACACAAAAAAAAATCCACTCAAGAATTATGGCTTAAAAATTAGTCCTTCTCAAAATCAATTCATTTGTAAAGATAACTCTTAAGTGATTAACAGCTCCATAGCTATTTATTATCAAAAATATGAAGGAACTATTTTAAGGCTCAGTCTATTCTCTTAGCCATCTAACCATACTGACAGCAAAAAACAGCACTTCTATGCACTTTTGTGTGAAGACTTTGTTCTTTATAGCAATGTTCTTTATATGAAGAGCATCCTCTTCTGTAGTATAATGTATCCAGTAATGCTAAAAAAGTTGCTTTGTTGTATCCCTTTAAGGTAGATCACCCACTGAGTTCTATTTATTCCCTTTGGCATAGTTTGAAAGTGCTGAACCACTTTAAAAGATATGTGGAAAATTTCTGTTGTAAATACTGTCTGCTTTTTTCAGTTCTCTGTAGCCCAAGAAGATCATAAAGAAGACAGAAGTTCTTTTTACCTGTGTACTTTTGGACTATGTTTCACAATAAATTCAAACTCTCTCTTTGTGATGGAACACTATTTAAACCACTGGAATTAGATTAATTAGCTGTTGAGGTATAGAATATTTCTGATAAATTTTAAACAAATGAGGAATACTGTGGAGGTAATTGGTGGAAGAAGTAATGTCATAAGGTTGGAGTACCATTTTTAATGTTTCGGAGATACTCTCGCACCCTTCCAGTACTGGAGTTGTACTCTTAGAGCTGTGATGGTATAAGGCTAAAAAACAGGGGCTTGGTAGGGCAGCTATACAGTTTTTTATTAGTTAAGAGTAGTCAGAAGCAGAGAAGCTAACAGGGACACAAATACAATTCACTTCTACCCTTAGGCTAGAAACACAAAACACTCAGAAACATTTTTAACTGTAGTATCTAGAAAACTGAAGACTGGTTTTCCCAGTTGTATCCATTTGGGTTAATCACATTTTTTTCACTCCACTAATCTATATGCAAGATGCTGTAGCTGTTTCAAAGCCAATGAGATACAGATTGCTCTCCATTGAAATAGGTACTTTCTAGTCAACTGTTTTATGGAAAGCATGGATGTTTTTAAAAATGCAGGACGAAAAGTGACATTGCAAATCAGCTTTAAGTAAGCCCAGCCTGTTCTGGTGATGGTGCAGAGGCATTATGTTATGTACCTTCAGCTCAGCATCAAACTTCAGTTTTTTTCTGCCTTTTCATTTTTAAATGTCAGTGCAGTCAGTCATAAAGCCCTTAAACGCCAGTACTGCTCTTCAGGCAAGGTCATAGCTTGGGATTTTTGCTACAGTCAAAGCAACCTGGGCTGTCTGCCAGTTTGAAGTCACCTCAGCAGGGTGGGCAGGAGCCTTCTTCACTGTACAGTGGCATGTTAGCTGTAAACAAGAAATATCAAAAGACAGCCTATCCTTACAGGAAATTCTCCATTGTTCACATTGTGTTCAATAGTTAAAAGTTTCGTCTACAAATCACAGGAGAAAATGCTTCCAAATGTCTCTTGGACTTTGTATTCATCTGTAAAACAGCCTGAGTTACGCATTTCACCCAATAAACTTTATCTGTATGCACAAGGTACACACCCAAATGCTCTCTTTCCTAGAAAAAAAGTTAAGAAAATATCACAACACAACAAAGGTCATCTTATTTCCCTTCAAATACAGTGATCACTTTTCTTTAGTCTTCACGAAGAATCACATGATATCTTTAGCAGGAGAAAGTCAGCATTAAAAAAAATTAAATGCTGAGCCTCATCTTGAAACTCTTTACCAGATTTTGTTGGTGTTTTGAAATTTGTGAAACAGCTCTTCATGAACTGCAAGGACTGTGATGGACTTTTGCCTTTTTTTTTTTTTTTTTTTTTTCCCTATTATCACCATTCTGTCATTTCCCTGAAGAGGGGTTCCAGTGAATTTGTAGAGTCCTGGCAGGGTTCTTCAAATAATGCATATTACAGGAGAAAGATGCAGACTGTCAGGGCAAGCGTGGGACATGAAACCCAGGCTGAAGTGCTGACCAGAAAAAGGTCAGGTTGTGCTGCATAATTCTGAAAGGAAGAGTGAGCAATGGCAAAGGAGTTCAGGAAGGATATAACTCTCTTGGTCTATAAGCTATTCTAAACATTTACTACTTCTTTTTATGAGCTCCATTGATTTTTGAACTTTGTTTAAGGAAATAAATTGACGCAGCCATTTAGTGTGAAAAACTGTTCCTAGAGTTAACCAATTAGGTCCATTCACAGGGCCATTCTCACCCCTAAGCTGTCTGCCCAGGTTTCTTATTTGCTCTTGTCAGCTACAGTTTCTCCTGGCAGCCACAGCTAATTGTGGTGCAGAGGGGAGCTTTAAGGGCAAGCAAACCAGGTGTCTGCCTTTCATGGTGATGTCAGGGGCAAAAGAAGAGTGGATTAGGACACTCAAAACTCGAAGTCAGTTTCAGTGAGGAACAAGAGCATCCAGGAGCTGGACTGCAGCTCTCTGGAGTCACCCAGCAGTGGAGTCACATCAATGCAGAAGTAGTGGAGCAAGATGAGCTAGAAGATGCTAGCTTAAGCAGAAGGGTGTAGTGGGCAGGAAGGAAAATCAGTAATTCAAGTCCCTGAGATTGAAAACAGTCATCTGAGTCACTGGGTCCAGGTGTAGCTTATTTACCTGGATGTTTGTGGGGATGTCTGATTGAAGAGCTGCTGGGAAATTTTTCTGAGAGGTGGAAATCAGGATTGTTAGAAAGGGCTGCAGTTAGGCCAAGTATCCAGCACATGGGAGCTCAGCACATCATCCTCATCCTTACTCTGTTAAGTGTTTTGTTTTTCCTGTTTCTCCTTTCTGAAAGGTTGAAATACTTTTCAGCTGAGCACACCAGCCAGTCAGGTAGTGGGGAGGAAAAATAATGGCTACAGAAGTAACTTGACCAATGTTAAGGTCTCCCTTTTCGGAGATTATAGTGCAAATACAATAGTAGTTAATCTTTATAGTCAGAATGTTAGCAAAATTATTACAGACTACCCTAGGAAAAAAAAAAAAGCCAGTACTATTCAGTGTGGTCTGTCCCAATAACTCATTCTGCCATCTGAACTTAAGCCAAGTGCAGGTGGAGAGGTGTGCCTTATCTCCAGCTGCTGGGGGCTGCAGAGACCACCCCAGTGTTCCGTGATTTCTCAAAGAAAACTTTGACTAGCCTCTTTGCTGTATCTATGTATTAGTTAAATATTTTGGTATGGATTAGTAGTACCCCAGCAGAGTGAAGAACAAGCAACACAAAGACTTTTTAAAATGCCTTTTCCATTTTCCTTTAAGTTTCATCCTTGGGGAGAATTATCATTTTTGTTCTGCTTTCCTTAGCTTTTTTTAGTGGAAGGATGTGGATGTCTTGCAAGGTTTCCTGCACTGGCAAGGTCCTAAGAGTTTAGATAACTTCTTTCTCTCACTGACATACTATCTATATTTGCTTTTTTTTTTTCTTTCTTGCTGAAGATCCATTTTTCGACAGAGCAGATTAAAATGTACAGCAGCCCCATCTGTCTCAATGTCCCTGGGGATAGAGTGTAGTCCAAGTCTCTTTTAAGCCTCTAGATGTACCTAGCTGTGATAGCACACAAACATTTTTAGCTTGCTTATACACATAATACTCAAAGCAACTTGCTGATGACATCTCATCACTCATGTGAGATGCAGAAATTCACTCTCTCCAGACTTTGTGAGACTATTTTCTAGCTTCATATTTTTTCATTACTATTATTGAACAAATCCTTACAGAGTATCCTACTTGGTGTCATCTCTAAGAATATAAGGAATACTCTAAGACACCTAGATGTTTCATCTTAATTTTGTTGAGTTGAGCAGTACTCGTGTTTTCCATTCATCTAGCCCCACTGCCGTGTGAATCCTAAACTTTTTTTTCCCTTTTAGACTCTGGTCATTTGGCATGCTCTGAAAAAGTGTCAAGTTGTTGATGGTATATTGGACAGCCATGTAGTTTTACGGAATGTGTTTCACTTTACTCTAAAACCTTAGCTGAAGTAAAGATCCCTCTCTTTCTGGTATCTACCTGCAGTAGGATGTCCTTCATTCTGTTGTCAGAGATTCCTAAAATCTATGTAATAGATAGTAATTCTCATTTTTCTTTTTTGCCTTCATCTAATTTACCCTAGTTTATGTTTAGTTTAATCCTGGTTATGAGTGTGAAGAACTAAATCAAAAGCATAACTGAATTACAGTTAAAATTGACCTTGGTCCTGACAAGGTAATGGTTGTAATATAAAAAAATAATTAACTAGCAATAAAATAGGCTTCTTATCTTGCTATATTGAGAAGAGATTAACTACTGCTGAAGAATATAATTTCAGAAACATCTGAAGCCTTGCAAGTAAAAATGAAGCTCTTTTAAGGTGGAGTACAGACCTCCTGCCCCCTGCCTTTAATATTTGCTCCTTTAGTAGATTTTATTGTTTTCTGTAGTAGTTGCCAGTCACCTGCAGATGGGAATGTACACAAACAGGTGGTATCAATATGTTTTTCAAGTGACAGCCTTTAATGTCACAATCAGATGTAAATTTTTAAATGCTTCAATTTGTACACATCTCTTGCCAAAAAAAGGAGTGTGATTACACTTTCTTTTATTTAAAAACATTTTTTAATGCCTAAAACTTCATAGAACAAGTAGTTGTGATACAGAAGATTTTCCTACTGAAACCTGTGCAGAGTATTACTTCTAGTAACATAACTAGATGTTCCCCCAAAACAGCCTCACAAAGTTGCAAAGAAAAACAGTAATGAAAAGGTAAAATGTTTATCCTTGGCCTTTGAACCATTGCTAAATGAAAACTGCAAATGCCTGTGTTTAGTGATATAAAGATCTTTAACTTCTCAGTTAAAATTTTACTCAGGAAAGTATTACATGTTGTTGCAAAAATGACGCAGGAGAACTAATTAATTAATAACAGAGTTTCTTGCCTTCATGGGAAGACTGCCAGTTTGGAGTCTTCATCTCTCCTGCACTTCCTGCACCTGGTCATTGCAAAAAACCAAGTCTCATATGAAGACAAATGCTTACTCATGTCTTCTTGATGAACTGTTTTGTTGTACTTTCTGTGCTCTAGTGTCTACTACCATGTTTTACTTGAGGATCCTGTAAGTCTCTGTTTAAAAAGTTCAGTCTGTAGCTCTTCTGGTTGCAAGTGAAGCATATAGAACTCCCCTGTTTATGATGTATGAATCTGAAATTTTTATGAAATCATGGATCAGAGTCTACTGTAAACTAACCACATTCTATAAATTGAGCATTTACTCCAGATGAACCACTCCATTAAATTATTGTTTTGCTTTTATGGTTTTTTAAAGACAAAAATGTACTGTTTCATACCTACTGAACTGGTTTTACCAATATGTGTACTTTCTTGTTGGTTGGTGTTTCTTTCTTTAGCTATTTCTATATAATTTTATTTCACCTAAACTGAAACACCTTTCCTTTAAAAATCCTGTACAGGCTAGGCTCTGTCTTAATGTCACATTGATTCTCGTGACTTTATCTACTTTATGACTACTTTGTCATACATCTAGCTCATCTCTTCTATATCTGGAAACCAAGAAACTGATCATGATGTGTCATTTCTTGAGCTAAAGCTTAATTCATTTAAGAAGCTACTGTTGTGCTCTGCCCATTCTGTCTATTCCAGCACTAAAACTCTTCACAGTTCTTGGAAATCTTAGGTACAAATCTGAAAATCGCTACAGAATTTGTTAATAGGAAGACAGTAATACCCTTCCAAATGGTCACAGAGATCTCATTACTGATGAGGTGTAGGTGTAGGTGGTTTGGTCTGATGGCACTATGAATACATTCTATTTTTAGATCTTTATTTTTTTCAGATACCTCCATGAAAACACACAGAATAGGTGACAAGGAAACACAGCTAGTCTAATTTAATGCAATTCTGAACTGGAAAAATTAATTTCTCAGTCCCCAAACCTGCCCATGCTTCCTGTGCTAATCTTCTATTCATTGAAACATACCTTCAGTCAGTACTGTTTTCTTCTCAGCTATGATTTCTTTTTCCTGGACTCTGCATGATCATAGATATTTGTATTGTAAATTGTGGAATTGTTTGTTTTGTTGTTTGGGGTTTTTTTCTCTGTGCAGGAATATGTATCACAGGATGACTCCAGTTTCGTACTAGAAAGAAATTATGCTGGTCTGTCGTATCCTGATACTCTACTACAGCACAAGCTAAAACTAGATTAATAGCAAAGGAAATCATCACCTCTTTCTGAAAAAAACAGGTTTTATTGAAGCCTCCTAAGTGGAAGTTGGTTCCAAGTAGCTGGAGATATTTGTCCAGATTACAGCTGTAGGTATTTCACCTGCAGGCACATTTGAGACAGAACTCGGAAGAGTCACATGGAGAAAAAGAATAGCATTGTCATGTTTCTGTGTTTTGGGTAAACATTTATTATTTCATGTGCCTACAGCAATTCTTTTTTGAAACTAGGACTGCCACATTTGGTATCTTCTGCAGAGCCAGATTCTATGAGATTTTTTTACCTTTTCTGCTAGGATCACAAGGTTATTCATTCAC